AGAAATCCTACCATCACGTTCCAGAATTCGACCTCGGCAAGATGTGGCCGGGTTAGCGGGGCTGACAGGTTAATTGTTTCGTAATGTTGTTGCACGTGATGGTACTCATCCCATGACTGCAAGTTAACATGAGATCGATGGATCTCGAAGGACTTTATTGAAAGCTAAGTAGTTTCTAAGCCGCTCGGCCCACTAACGCTAAGCCCCAGAGGACAGATATGTTGTCCTCTGGGGCTTAGCAGGATCGTACAGCCACATAATGAGCCCTTAGTCAGGTACCTGGTTCGTTTTCAGGACAAAATGTGTACACATGTGTAATGCGACGACATGTTCAGCCCCCCCGTACTGTTAGCATGGCAACCGTTATCGCGGCTTCCCTCGATGCTGTAACAAAGACAGGTGACAGGTGACAGCAGGACAGGGTACCCGGACGGCCTTCTATGACTACTCGGGTGTTACCCTGGCCCTGCAACCATCTATAGAATAACCCAAAGGGGCCACATGAGAGACTCACGCCTTGCACCCAGAGCCAATGCCTGATTCCTCCGATCTGCAGGTCTACCCACCAGAGGAGGAAATCCAGGGGGACGGAATACATTTGGATTACTTTCGTAATATGTAGCAAAGACAGGTGACAGGTGACAGCAGGACAGGGCACCCGGACGGCTTTCTATGACTACTCGGGTGTTACGCTGGCCCTGCAACCATCTAGACTTCACAGTTGTAAGACGCTTAACAGATGTGTGCTCAATACATGCCACGTTACATCTACAGTATTATATGTGCACTGTCCATTACTGTGCTAATAGCCTTGAACGGCACGTCGGCTCGTGGATAACTAAAAACAGTTACATTTCCATACTACGGATACACATACCATTGCTGTCCTAGCTACTTTAGTAAGCTTTGAGAATCGTTATGCCAATTATGTTTATTGCATGTGCCCTATTCCGGCCTGCAGAAGTCTATGCTCATTTTTTTCTAGCTTGTCCATTATGCTTTTAAGCTTTTGTCGTGTGCCTCGATGTTTTACGAGAAGGCGTTTGAAAGGCAGAACATTGGTGGTTGGGAATTTGATGTGCTATTCTGCTGTTAAGGGGCACTCCGTGACATAGTGGTCTGGTGAGTCCAAGTTGTCACAGACACACATATTAGTTGTTGTTAGACCCCTTTCTGCAAAGTACGTCGGAAAGGGGCCGTGGCCTGCAGAAAGGGGTTAGCAACAATCCGATATCGCGTGAGGTAGGGCGCTGAGATGAGCCGGTCCACCTCTACCTTGGGCAGGAACTCATATGCTCTGCGGTCTTGCGGGATTTGGTTCCATTCTTTCTACCAGTTTCCAATGGAGGTCTCCTCTTTTTGCCTCTTTAGGCATGACCGGGGCAGGGGCACCTGAATCTGCTCCGTTTCCTCATTTTGGGCAGCCTCCTTGGCAAGAGCGTCTGCTGCTTCATTTCCCTGGATTCCAGCGTGCGCCTTCACCCAGGAAATTTGGATTTTCATTGACTTTTCTTGTAGACGGAGGACTTCTTGCAGGTGCGAGATTAGTGCGGAGCGCTGGAGAGGGTTGTTGATAGCATAAATGCTTGACAGGCTGTCAGTAAATATCGTAGCTCGACTCTGCCGTGCGTCAATTGCCCATTTCACTGCCTTTGTGAGGGCAACTACTTCCGCTTGGAACACTGAGTCCTGTGCGCCCAGACGGCCCTTCCATTCCTTTGCTATGTTTCCATCTATATAGGCTATATAGGCACTGCCTACAGTGTTATCAATTTTTGACCCGTCTGTATAAAGCACAGCCCCTGGTCCGTCTAAGCGCGGGGTTAACCCTGGTGAGTGGAAAGTCCTTATGCCCAGTCCATATTCCGACGGATGTGTGCTTAGTTTGGACCTGCGTGTTTCGTAGACTTCTGGCAGATAGCATGTATCCCCATATGTGCATGGCTGTTGGAATTGCGTCACCTTTGCAATTGAGGCTTCTTGCTGCGCTTTGATTGGGAGCGGCATAAGCCGTGCTAATACCGAAGCGGCCGCAGTCGACGTTGTCCTGTAGGTCTTCGTTATGGCCAGGACAAATGGTCGCTATGCACTACTTAGCAATTTTGCCTTTCTGACTGTCATCGGGGCTGCCCAGATGGCTGCTCCGTAGGTTAGGACCCTCTCCGCGACAGTGGAGTAAAGTATCTTGTAGATATTGGGCCGAAGGCCCCAGTGCGGGCCTTGCATTTTTTGCAGATTGTTTGCGATTCGGTGGGCTTTTTCTCTTTGCGCTTTAAGGAGAGGCAGCCAGGTGAACTTTTCATCCAATATAATATCCAGGAGTTTTAGTTCTCTGACCCTTTTGTAGCAAAGACAGGTGCGCGTACAGTGATGCGACGAACGACGACACTGGACATAGAAATGCGTCACGTCATAGCCACTGAAGCCTTGTAATCGTCATCATCATACTGGACGAGCACCTGTCGTGATGGTATCAGGTGCCATTGGTATACATTCCAGTCATCTGTTCTTCGCATAGCCGGTAATATGGACAGCCGCCGTTACATTTCTGAAGTTTTAACGCTCGTGGATGAGTCTTATTTTCGAGACGCATCTTTCAACGCATTTTCGCAGGACGTCATCTTTCAACAAGATAACACATGCCCACATGTCCGTGCTGTCCTGATCCACCTTGATGCAGAGGGTGTTCGACTGTTCCCTGGCCAACACGCTACCCAGATTTCGCACCCACTAAGAAACCTTGGTGATGGGCGGCAGATAGACTGGCACGCCACCACTAGCTAGCTGCTACGATTGATGAACCTTGACACAGAGCTGAAGCCGCATAGAATGAAGTACCCGTACCTGTCATCCAAGTTCACTTCGACTTGAAGCCCGGCCGAATAATAGGCGTTGTTGTTGCTAGAGGTGGCGGCTTTGTGTGCTGTATTCTGAACTCCCCAAACCACCTGGAAATTTTATTATGTCATCTCTTATGGTACTGTATATATACAATAACTAAGATTCTGCTATTTGATTTCCCACCCAGCGTAGAAATTTTAACGGCTGATAGTGTATTTATATAGCTATAATAGCCTTAAAAGCACCAATCAAAACACCGATTCGTCTGAATATATGATATCTTCACGTATCAGATGTTTTTACACTTTTGAATTTGTTTGACAAAGTAAAATAGTGGCTTACATCTGCCAAGCATCACATGTAGATGCTTGATATTTTGATAGTATTCTACAAGAAAAATAATTAAATACATAAGGTTGAACTGAGCAAATACATTAACTTTCACCTTAGCTATCATATGATATGCGATGAATTAATATATTTTTAGTTTTAAACTATGCACATGTTACGGTCAATGTAAGAAACGCCGTCATTCTACAGAATACATAGGCATTTTATAAAATGTCTGGAGTTTTAGGCAAATTCTGAAATATGAGAAATATTATATACTATCCTTAGACATTGTATATAACATTTAGGTATTCTAAAGAATGACAAATGCTATTTAGTTAAAGTATAAAGAAAGGATATTAAAAGACTATCATTTAAAAGACGTGCATTCCTCAAAAATATAAATGTTATTTTGAAAACCGTAATGAAAGAAAATCATCAAAACTCTTTTATTCAAAATACGTAAAGAAAATTTAAATTGTACAAAACAAAATTTATGCCTTTCTTAATAAGGAAAACAGTGTATAAAAATGTATGAAATTGTGGAAAGAATTAATTAAATTTATGAATTGTTTACGGATATACTAAACGTAAAAATATTCGAAACGAATCGGAAATCCATTTCATACTTTGCCAATTTGTTGTTTAGCATTAAACATACCTAGGAAATGTACGAAATGTTAATCGTTTCATATACTACCGGTTAAGTTTCGGCATTCTGTAAAATGCCTAGGTATTTTATGGTATGCCGGCTTTTATATATATGACGAGAAAAAATTTCGTCAAAACATTTTAAGGGCTATATTTCATTTTATGTGAATAAAAGTGGTATATTGTAGCATGCCATATCAGAAACCATGCATTCTCTATTTTTTTAGTCTCCATTAGACAATCTTTGGACCTGATATCTACATTTAGATGTTGAAACGACCATTATTCTTTCCGAATTGGTTAAAAGGCTTCAATAAAATCACCACTGAGAAGCGTACGCCGACTTCAGTTTCAAAACCAAAATAAAAGGAAACAAAAATATTACTCAGTGTAAAAGTTTCTCTTATGGATACTTAACAAAACGTAAGAACTACTTGTTGTAAAGAGAATTTATTTATTTCTGCATCATAATTGATTCCTTTTTATTTGCAATATCTCTTATAACTTTGAAAGGTGATAAAGGTTCTAGTTTTTCTCTTCATCTGGCTGTTTATTCAGAAGATCTTTAGCAAATATTAACATGCAACAACAAGAAAATGAAAACTTTTCTCTGAATGCGTTTTAATATTTTCGACATAAATAAAAATTTGCAAAATGCATAAATAAATCGTATTAATAAAGAAAACTTTACCTAAGATATTCTATCATATAGGCTATAGTTAATTTTCCTGCAGTCGCCTAGAAAACAAGGTAAGGATTTAACCTTGAGAACAAGCTGTGTAGATCTGCATTTTATTATGCCAACTTCATCAGTGCTGTGATTCATTTCCATATTTAGATTTATTATCTGTAATGAAATGCTCAAAACATTTAATTTCTTCTCGTTTTAATATGTATATAAGAAACTGTTATAATACTATTCAAATATGTCTCAATAAAATTTAATAAACACTATTGTGTAGATGTTAGATTAACCACATATTTTCTTTTGAAGCTCTTGGGCAATGTTTTTGGTGGCCTAAAACAGAACGCCTCAGTCCAAACCTCAATAGTTACATTAGTTACACCATGAAATATGAAAGAAAACCTGCCTCAGTTAATGCCTATTATGAGAAACTGTTTTCTGCCATTTATTTTAGCAAAACTTATTTCCAGACTTTTAACAATAAGAAAGTCACCTGATTACTTTGACGAACATAACAGTTTTCATCGGCTCCCCACCATTCGCTGCATTCTTTCCAAGGCACCTGAGAACGGAAAGACTGGCCGAAATAGTACAGTGTGTAGCACATTATGACATTATAATAAATAGCCACCATAATGGACATGATGATCATTGCAAATCCAAGACCTGGTGAAAGTTATAAATTATTACATTACATATGTAACATTACACATTATTACATTACACATTACATATGTAAAAGTAATTATCTTTACAAAGTAAATGAAATTTCAGCTTTCAGATACTTATATTAGAACTAATTGCATTAAGAATCAATTAAAAATTTATGATATTATGGGATCCAATTCACTTATTATTATTGGCTTCCAAATGTTAAGCATGCAATGTACAGTAGATTAGCATTTTTTCGAAAGCGTAGTTGAATCTGAGTGACCGAAAATCAGTACGAATGCAAATGGCATTATACAAATATCGTATATATTACAGCCAGTCATGACTGAATACCCGAATATATCTTAATTAGGTAGTCGTTGAAGATGTCATTATTCTGAAGAGTTTTTGGAGGTTCATTTAAATTCTGATACGCAATGTTCACAACTTATGTAGAATAAATTTTGATGATGTTCTTATTTCTATGGTTGAAACGAGTTGAATGGCAAATAGTGAGCGGTGACGTGTTATACAACGCAAAGAAGGATGAGAGTGATTAAAGATACCGCTTTTTTCTTTGCCATTGATAATTTGGTAATTCTCGAATGCTGAAATAATTCTAAACAGTTATGCCTGGTCAACCAACGGTTACCATCCCTTTTAATGATCGGTATGATGCTATAGCAGCCAAACAGAGTCGATGAACGATCTCCACAACTGTTACATCCATAGCTGTAGCGTGACTTGGTAACATAATATATGTAACTACTGTATGCCGATGTCTTCACATGAAGGGAACGTACTCCCGAGTACCAAGTTTGTGTCCATTAACCATCTAATCCATAGGGGCAATATTAAAGTGACTTCACTAACATCTCCAGTTAGGAGTGTTTCAGTTAGGCTCAGCATCCTGTTCGAGGATAAGTCATTCTGCTCAAAAAATTAGATGATAATCGTGTAAAGTTTTAGAGAAAACGGGGCATAAAAATCAGACCCAAAACATCATCGAACATCACGCATTCAGATATAATAGCATCATGGGGAGGACTGGAATTTCAATGCAATATCGCTCGCTGCAGCATATCTTTAAAGACGGTTTTGTGAGGACTGCGCGGTAGCTGAATGACGTCCTACACCCCATTAGGGGACTCTACGCTGCACCCGCCATAAATGTGATTTGTGAAGGCTGATTTCCTCCTTATGGATGATAGTGCCCATCCCTGTCCAGCAAACAACGTTAACGTACACTTGAAGAGTAACGGTATTTCTCTTATGAGAGTGGTCGCTGTGTTCCTCCAACCTTAATACCACTGAAAATATTTTGGGTACTCTCGGGCATACTGTCTCTGCCCATTTACCTCCACCAACCTGTCTCAGACAATTAAAAATTATCCTAATGGAGGATTGGCCATTGCCAGTAATATGCGTTGATTGGTACCGTCATTGGAAGCATGGATGATCGCTACAAAGCTTATGTAAATGTTAGGTAATTCATTAACGGAGTGAGCATATAACTTATTAATGTAAGTTTTTGTTTGTTTACTTTTACCTTTAATCATGAATTTGTTAGTAACTCAAATATGACATCATCATATAATTTACGAAAATTAAATATGTGCATAATGCTTGTTTTCTTTCATGCATAAATACATTTGCTAACTTCATGTACAATTTGATGTTAATAAAAACTTTAGTTTTATATTTATGTTGGTTTTACCGTGTCTAATCTTTGGAAGCCAATATATAATGAATTAGTAATTGATATTATAATAAGTAACGTAACTATAATACTATCTGTCAGTAATGACTTACCTCTAGCTAGTGGAAAACACCTCCAAACGCGAAGCGTTCCCAGACCAGCAAATTGGCCTATAGCTAGTTCTGCGAAGAAATGCGGTTTTCCAACCAGTATCAGCATTATAATGTAGGCTACCAGAAAAGCTCCTGTGGATATTTGAAACCATTACAACATAAAAAGTTAGCTATATAGTTGCACAATCTCAAATATTCTCAAATATGACATCAAATTACTTAAAACTCTCTCAGCCTCTTAAAGCAATTTAAATTGCTGCTAGAAGAGGAATTAATTATGATTTAATCTTTTCAAACCTTAATTTTTTAAACCAGGCAAATATTTTTATGGATGCTAGAAGAACTCCTTGCAACATATTAACAAGTTGCTGCTTAAGTTGTTCCTACTGCCAAATAATACCACAAAGAACATTCAAAAGCAAGGCCGCCCAATGGTGACCCTAAGTGGTAAGAGACTCTGACTGCCGTTACGAAGATCCTAGGTTCGAATCCTGGAGAAAGCATAGATATAATTAGTCTGTCCCTTCACAGGAAGCAAAGGTGACCCATCTATTAGGTGCCTGCATAATAAAGAGACCATAACTTCCGGCCTTAGTATTGGTCAACGTCTATAACTGCTAGAGCCCGCCATTAGAAAAAAGTTCAAAAGCAAATATTTACATTACGAGTGGAAAAACACATGCGCACAAGCCGCCAGATGAAACTTCTGGTGAAGAATAGCAAACAATCTCTGCTACCGATAAAGAGATCTCTAGAAATGAAATTGGAACATACCAGCTGCATGGCCGAAAAGGTTAATGATTTAGAGTGAATGAGAAAAAAGTAATCGAATTATAATATATGCTATTACCATAACTGAAATATATCCTATATGAACGTGAAATTTACGGTACCTAAGAAATACAATATTTCTTAAAATCTAAAACGCACTTTTTCTTCCACATCATTATTGCCAGAGTAAATTAGATATTTTAGAATATTGCAAAGCACTCGACGGCTACATGCCTGAGGAAAGGATCCACATTACACATAGGGAAAATTACGAAAACTGTCATGCAGTCACCTGTTATCTGGGCTTTTGAGTCCGGGTGGTACTGCTAGAGGTCATTGTTCTTACTACTTTAGCACTGGTCTCAGAAGCAATGTGTTAAAAGCATGGTATGCCTTAAAATTAATGGCACGTTAGAATTTCAGATTTCTTCCAAATTCCTAATTATTCCGAAACATTTATTTTCCAAACTGCTATTTTAAATTAAAATAATACTTTGGTTAAGTCAATTATTAAAAAGTTCTTGGATGTATTTTAGAGTTTTACTTCGTTTAAAACTTTTGTAGAATCAGAATTTTTTTTCTGTTAATGGTACTGAAATTAAGAGGCGCATACTCTAATCGATTGCATTTCAGAATAAACTATCGTATAATAAATTAAATCTAGTAGTCAAATAATAATCCCTAATTGCATAGCTCCATTTACTTTCCCTTTGTGTAACAATATGATTTCTTTCTTAAAACAAGAATAAAGACATTTTTCGTAATTTGAACTATTTATTATATCGTAATTAAATTTTAGTTAATGATATTCATAACCATAGGCGAAAGTAGTAATGTTGAAGTATTCGCTTGCTTAATTAAATATGTCGACAAATTAACGAAGCAATTTAGGATTCAAAGTCAAAATACTTTTTTTGATTTTGAAAATACTGCTTTCAATTTTTTAGAAGTAATAACGAGCTTTTAAATATAATAATTGCATTAAGAGTCAAATGCAACTGTTAAATACTGTTATTTTCTCGTTACAGCGGCGGAAATGAAAACAGTATTCGAAAAAAAAAGTTACCTAAACTTTTATTTTTCTTTTCTTTACAAATGGACAAAGTAAATAATTACTGTAATAGCACAGGAAATGATATGCCAATTCAATATTGAAAATTGTCATTATCTTCCCTCGAAAGAAAACGGGGTATTCTAAGGGACATGATCAATAAATGTGTTAGTGCTTGTCATAGAATTGTGTTAAAAGGTAGAATTTGTTTCATTTTCATTACTTTAAAAGCATGCAATTCAAGAAATATATCGTATACATATTGATAGCAAAACCAGACTTTCGCCCTGTTTCAGGCATAACAAAATAATGAATAAAAAAATTGAAATTTTCTTTAACCTACATGAAAACAAACTTAAGTCAATAGGTCAACAGAAAAAAAAATCATTCTAAAAGTACAAAAAGTCTTAGAACACTTGAAATATAAAATAAAGTCTCAATTATAAAACCAGGAATAGTTAACTTAAACTTCAAAATATTAACATTCAAAATATTCAAAATGTTAACAGACTTCAAAATCTGAGAACCTTTGACACAAAGATTTGATTCTTGGAAGATATAAATGCATAAAACAATAATTGTTCACGTCTATTTTGATAACATTAATCCAATCATAACATTAAAAGGTGACAACAAATATCCTTCGATCTAGCAATAAACTAATTTAATATAATTAGAAACATAAATAGGTTCTTTCACAGCATTTTAATTACAAAATGGAAAAGTTTGTTTATGAAATATTCGTAACGTTTTTGTAAATTGATCGATGTTATATCCCTAATATTAATACTCGGAGGGCATCTGTCATTTATGAAAATAGAATTTACTAAAGCAAAATTAAAAATTAGGCGAAAATGCAACCTTAATTAGTCGTGGATGTTTTTAAGGAAATAATTTTTTTATCTTGATCTGCGTTCGCAATCGTAGTCAAAATTGACAGAACTATTCAAAATCTTCACCAAACTAGGATTGCATTCTGCCATTTTAATGGTGGACTAAAATCCAAACCAAGTTGTTTGGCGGCTTAATCACTTACTCGGTAACTTTTCTTTCACTTAGCAAATCTATAATCTAATTTGACCTTATTTGATAACTTTACTTCAGTTTAACCGCTTAACGACTGCACCCGAGATATCGCAGGAATACATGCCGCTTCGATTTTCCTACCAACGAGTTCACTCGGGCGCTGAAAATTTCACGGATATTTAATGCCATCGCACATAATAACGTGGCAATTAACACTCTGCCAGCACATGATTTCTTAGTTGGGGAAGGGGTCCAGCGGCTTTTGTGATTGGTTCCTGCATGATCCTGAGCTGCAGTCGGCGACGTGACCGCATTATAAATGAACTGTAAATTCAGTTTTTCGATTAGTGGTAGGGTCTTAGACCCAGGTACCCTGGGGCTACACTAAATTTTCTGTCGTGCAAATTTGTTTTGTTATTCGATGCAGATTATCAGATTATCACGCTGTTGTAGACTGTAATGTGCCGCTATGTGTTACACCATGTTTAAGAGTGTAGCATACTGTCAATGACATTTATGGATTGAAATATGTATTTACTTGATTTTTACTTTAGCTCTTATTACCTATTATTACCTTGACTACAGTTTTGTATTACTTCTGGCTAGATTGTGTTTCTTTTGGGGGGGGCTGCTTCACTGAAACCGGAGTTATCTGGGGTAATGTCATAAACCATAATAAATATCTTTTTCTTACGAAAAACATTTTTTCGCCTTACGAAGCTACATCTAGTGAGCTAATTTGTCGACTTCCGTTGAAGTCGTTTCGATAACTCGTGTCTACCTATTAATGAGTAAAATATCTCTCGTATTCCTCCGTGATCAAAATCAACTGATATAATAATTAAATTTTTAGGAACATAATACTGCTGAAGAAAATTCGAATTCATTTACATAAACTTCTAAGTTTTTATATATTTAAAGTGTTGTTGTAGATAAAAATCAATTCCTTAAACCAATTCTTCTTTAACTTCTGTTTACGTTCCTTCCTGAATTATATACATGTTAATGTGTTAATACATATAAATGTGTTAGTGCTTGTCATAGAATTGTGTTAAAAGGTAGAATTTGTTTCATTTTCATTTTCATTCATGGGATCAAATGTATGTATACTTTATGAGTTGTTTTAATACTAACAAATTTACTGAACACCTTCTGTTATCTACAAGCAACTGTACCACCTACTCCGGAATTACTTATGCCTATGCCTTCATATTGAATCCGTAGGTTCAAAAATAAAGAATTAGTATAACCAATAATAAAATAATCAAGAAAATCAGTGATAATAATGGAACTACAAACTATCTTTTCCTAGTCTTGTGAAAGGTTCGGTTTTTACATACCCATAGGTATTTCTTTGAATCTGAAAATTTTATTGATATTCTCACATTTGAGAAGTGCTCTTGGAAGTTCTTTTGCATTTTTAATACTCATAAAATAATCGACAACAAGAGAAAGAATCGAATGTAAATAATTAACATTTATTCATTTACCTCCACCGTTCTGGTAGGCAAGGTAAGGAAATCTCCACACATTGCCGATACCAACAGACAGCCCGATACAAGACAACAAAAATTCTGCTTTGCTTCCCCATTTTTCTCTCTCTAGATGCTTTTTCTCAGCTTCTGCTTCTAATTCTTTGCTGCTTTTTGTTCCATTCACCACTGGCAAAACCTGAAAAATGAAAGGATTTCCATACAATTGTTACTGCGACAATGCTTATATTTAGTCCTTATGCTAGATCTATCAATCAGACTATTAAATCTCTATCTCATGCTAAGCATCTTTAGATAACTTTACATTTTTCTGCTTGGAAACGGATGGACTTAATGTCATTGATCCAGAAATCGTCTCAAGGATTCTAGAGCAATTTACACAGAAAACAGTTACAAAAAATATTTAAATAGAAAATATTTACCCAAAAATAATTCCGATAGAAAATTAAATCATAAAAATATTTCGCAATTAATGGTAATGAAATTGATGTTAAATTATATTTAGTTAAAACGTTTATTCACACATGGCTATTACATTATACATTAACCAGGTTACGGTTTAGCTGAGCCCTGCCTAAATAGCTGAATTCATTTATTATAGAAAAATGACTACGAGAAGATATCAGTTTGAGATAAAAATGTGCATGGTAAATAAAAAAATATAAAGTGAATATATGATACCGATAAATGATATACAATGGAGAAACGAGCGCTTCTGGGACAATAGCAATAACAGCAAGTTTATAACACAATGTTTGAGAGTTTCTTTTTAACAAAAATTATACGTAATCTTTAATATTTTACAATAAAAATAAAAAGTTCTATTTTAAAAATCAGTGATACTGCTCAAATTCTCAAGTCTTGGACGCATAAAAAATTAGACGTATACCAAACAAATTTTTCTAATAAGAAAAAAGTCTGATGTGGACAGTACATGACTTCTTTGTATGGAATATTAATATACGCATTTTCTGCTGCATTTCAACTTATTTTCCCGAATTTCATTAGATATACTTCTCATTCAATTAATTCAGTTCTCACTTCGTGGCAAGGCAAAAAGACATAAAAATTCAAAATATCTTAATTAAAAATTTATAAATATAAAACACCAAATACAGTTAAAACACTTTTTACACTTGAAATTAGTTTCTACCACAAATACGAGCAATTCGGCCAATTGAGAGAAGGCAGATTTTCGGTTTTAGGTTGAAAGCTGCAAAAAGACACTGAAGATGCAGAAACTGACTTAATTCACTATTCTGTTAAGTGTCAAATGTAAGCAAATATGGCGGCTATGGTAGAAAAATAGGCTTAGCCGCAATTAAACAATTTTAAAATTGTTCATAATTCTACAACTATTGCATGCAGGTTAACTAAAGGCATCAAAACCCTAATCGGAAGATAAGAACAACATAATTCAATCATTTTTAAAGCAAGAAATACACAATTTATCAACATATAAGAGTAAAAAACCTGAGGTCACGGAGCCGAGTAATAGAGTGGGCATATATATATGTAAGAAAAAGAATATGTAAAAGATTAAATTAGCAGCGTAAATTAATTTTCCTTCTCTGTTATAAAAATAGCAATCTCTATTCGCACTGCGTCATTTCGAGAAAAATCTGTGTCATATGAATTCTTACGTAATTATGATGATGTAAATTGAACTAAAACTCAACCAGCCAATACTACTACAAGAAATTAAAAAGGAAAAATAATTAATCCTTTCTTATAAAAAAAATCCTTTTCTTATTCTTCTTCATGACACTACTTAAAATACAAATGTATTAGGCGAATTGCACTTAAAAGCATAATAAATGAAGCACTTCTCATGGTACTGTACGCATACGTTTTTCTGCTATATTGATCAAAAACAATATTTAACAATGTAGGGTTTATATTTATATTAACTAACATTTATTTTAAGTTTAAACTATCTTTCCTGTCAAGCCTTACTTTCCCCTGGAATTGCCAATGCCAGAGTATGTAAATTTTAGTAGAACGCGCAAAGTATTCAAAATAGTCAGCGGAAGTATTCTGAGTTAAATAGAAGGGAAACGAGTTCGAAAGAGTGCTTTCTTGCTTCACGAGCGTGGAGGTGGCTTGGTAGAAATTGAAGAACCGCGCGTTTCGGCCTGTATTCTTGCCTCAGTAGATAGTTAAATCTTTTAACGTAATATTCAGAAGTTTGCTGAATTGTCAGCGGTATTTTAGAACGCGGTTAGGTTAGTTACGTTTTAGAGAGTCTCGTAGGTAGTCACTTGTTATTATTCATTTTTAGTTTCTTATTTTTATTTTACCGCCGGGTCGGCGTAGTTTGTGAGCGTCAAGAGCACGCATCTGTAATTTCTAAAGTTGAATAAAAAGGGATTTAAACCCTTCTCAAGACTTTGTGTAAAGTTCATAGCAGTCACCACTATTGTTGCGTGCAGGTTGGGAGTGTGCAACATTACAACATACTCTAACTTGTCTGATCTTTGTTTAATCGATTTCACCCCCTCCCGCAGCGTCAGCATTTTTAATAGCACCTTTGATTTTCACTATTGTAGTCATTTTCGCACTCAGCATTGCATTCGGCATACGGCAGGCAATAGCCAAATCCCAGATACGCATGACATCTTCATACTTATCAGCAATATCTCTTTTTATCGCCATTTCTAATACAATTTCCCTCGTTTTGACCTGCATTTCTAATAATATTTTTAAGTGGCTCTTCACATTAACATTACTGAAACTCTTTATTAGTGAATTTACAAAACCATTACGCGAAAAAATATAATATTGTTCGAAATTTCAGAGTTATAGTGCGAGTTGTTTACTGAATAGTAGTAATAAGCGTACAGAAGCTCATCGGCAGTGGTCGCAGTGTCTCGAAGGAGCTATAGTGCAGTGTAGCGTTTGTAGACATGACTCATCAAACTCAAGTCTTATTCCAAACAAATACGGTACACCAAACTGGACGTATTTCAAAGCAGACGTATACCGATATATCATTGTATTGCTCTTTAATGTTATTTATAACTTAATTTCTTCTTTCCTAACAATGTTTATTCTTTCGTTAGATACACTGTGTTCTTTTTGCTGTATTTTGAACACTGATTAAATTTATGTAAGCCAGTGGACTTGTTCTCCTGATTAAACTACTCGGAAACACAGAACAGTATGCCGTCGGAGTGGGTCCTTACTCTGGTGTTAACCGCACGCGAATGGTTTCCAGCCTGATGGATATATTCTGTATCTCATGAAAGTTGGCAGAATATGAACGTTAGAAGTACAGACTGTACACATGCATGCATAAACATGAGTAACTGATTATTAGATAAAGATGGTATGCGTGTAGAAAATATTTTGACAGTTATGAATAACAGTACATGGTGCACATTGCAATAGAGCAAAACATACAGGATGTTGTACAGTTATGTACATTCTTGACACATTAGTCTGTCTCCTAGAATGAAATTAAAGTATTCTTCGAAAGGTGGAATCGTTTGCATAGTACAATAATTTAAATTATAAAACAGTTTTGTGATAACATAAGGATAGGCATTGTGTTTTTGATTTGAGTTAACCGTAGATGTCTTTTTCGTATTGCCCAATTAATCGGCTACTGAATGTATGATTCTGTTTTCACACCACAAAAAAAGCATGGACTGATATTTAAGTAGTGAATGAAAACTGCTATTTTTTCCAATGAAATTGTATTCACAGACTAGTTATTACTCTCCAGGTCGTTTTTGATTTTTCTATTTATCGTAATTTATATTAATGCTTTGAAGCCTCAAATTCATCAGTCTCCTTCGTTTAATTTTGGTTTGATCTGCATGCATTTGATATATATGAGAGGAGTAAGGGGAATTTTTTACGTAATTATATTTACACTTCAGATTTATCTTAGTTCTTTTCACAATATTCTTTACTTGTATTGACATAATCTTCCCAATGTTTACCTATCGTTAAAAACCTGCAAACAATTCTAGAGCTCTTTACCTGAAATATTTTTCAAGAAACGTAACATATTTTCTTGCATCATATCCATATCACCGAATTCTACTTTTACCTAATGAATTGCTTTCTAGAAGCTTTCTTTGTCCGATGAAATAGAAGACAGTCGCACTAAACAAGAAGGTTTGGTGAGTGGCGAAACGAGCTACAATCATCATGTTGTTCTTTACCAAAAATAGTCAGAGGGAAAAAGTTTCTTCAGAAATGTAAGTAAATAATGTTTCGAAAATCTTCATTAGTACCCTGACGCAATTTCTAAATGCTTCTCTCATTTCTGCTCGTTAATGGATGTCCAAATCTTAGCTCTCTTCATCTGATATGCTGCCGTTTTTTTTATTTTTTTAATCTGAAAAACTATATTTACATTTGGGATTTATTCAGAACGTGATCTTTAAAAGATTATTGAAGCATAACAATTATCTCAGAGGCAGATTTCCTCAAAAAAATTTGCACAATATTTTTATAGTTATGGTCGCTCATCACAAAAATGGTATAATACAAGTCAGCATCAAGGACAATGCCGCTTGGCAAAATAAGCTCACATTTCAAAAGTTAACAAAGGCCTAGTGGCACTAGTCGTAGTTAAGCGATGCTTGCCTTCGGTGTTACAGTTCTGGTTATTTTTCAGCATCCGTCAGTGTTTATTGCCTACAAAAACATTCCTTGCTCAAATATTTACTGTATAAATATTTCATATATAAATTGGCCACTTATCATCCGAAAAGGTCCTTGAAGGACAAAGACTTCTAATTCCTTTCTTACATCGGCCGCTGTTAAAAGAATGTTTTTTTTTCATCGAGTCCCTTACATTTTTCTCTATGATATACAGCATATAAAATTATCATAATATAAATAACTGAGCATAAACTACTTAAAAATAACAGTTAGACTAGAATACGAGCAAAGAACAAAATGGTTTATTAGATTTATTTTTATAGTTTTTTGTATGATCATTATTTTTAATTTTGCAAACAAAAATAAGTTTTCAGAAATAAAAATCATAGATTCTAATTGCACAAACGTTCGATTATAATTAATCGGATGATTGCGCTTGTTATATTGATGAATTTTTTTAAATATTTGGCATAGAACTTCTCAACTTAATTCTAAAATTACCTCTTTCAAAATTATTGAGCCTTTTTTTTTAATTTTCTGTAGTAAATTACTGACTTAACT